CACCTGACTGAATCCCTTCAATTACCCGGTTCGGGCGGAGTTCAATAGGGTGGTCTACGGTGGCGGAGAACTATCTCGCTGATCTCAGGCACCACATCGCGGTCGCGTGCCAGAATCTCTCGATGGCGCTCGTCCAGAAGGCTGTGGCGGAGTGTCATGATAGTATTTAATATGCTCTTTAATATGGTGGTAGAAATGTCCGATCAGAATTTATAAAGTGTAACTTATAGCGCCTCCAATGTCAATGAAGGGAAAGTGACTTTTTTGGCCCCCCTGTATATAACGCTCGTAAAAAGGATGATGCCAAATTAGTGGTGCAATGATATTCCGTCTTTTCTGGACCATGGTCTTTGCAGTGTAGGAGGAGAATGGGTCAGCAGCTCCAGTAGCGCTACAGTTTCTTCGATCAAAAGTGCATGGGAACGGGGCTAAAGGGTAGTGATGTCCGAACGTAGTTTCCACATTCGCCCGAGCAGCACACGGCCAGCCAGGCACCTGGCCATAGCCAAATGCGCCACTTGTCTTGCGCTCTCTCACTTCTGGATGTTCTCTACCGCTTAGTGGGTGTTCTCTGCGGAATCTGATATTGACGCAAGGGCTGCGCGAGGTTAGCGCAGGCGGAGTACGGAAACGGCTTTTGGGTACCTTAGCTTACAGCCCCGTTAATGCACTTCTGAGCTGAGAAATTGGCCCGGTACTGCAGCTGTGGACCCGTTCGCCTCGCATATGGCAAAGCCGTCTTCGGAGGGGTACAGTCTTCTTCTAGAAAAATATGGAAGTACAAAGAATATTAGCAGTTTTTGAGATGATTGTCCTTAGCCTTTACATAGTTCCTCGAAACTTTGAAAAAAATTCGTATATGGAACCTAGGTGCTGATAAGGAGCTTCGTCTCAGAGTTCCAAAAGCGCTATTTCACGAAAGTCTAAACTAGAGCGTCTGATAGAACAAATTCTCTTCCAGGAGAGATCACTATACAAAAAATCATTAAAGATACGATCTAAAGAGCGTGAGGCCCAGTAGTCGTGTTTAATGAAGTCAAGGACCGCAGCCAATGAATTGCGAACGTTCTCCGGAACTTCTTCGAAGTTCTGCTTTTAACTTAATAATTTTCTAGATTTAACCAGATTACAGAAAAAAGTTCTCATTTTTCGTTGCGATAACTCTACATCAAGCAATCATGGATTGAGAACGTTTCCTCTTCTCTTAGTCTTCTTTTGCTTGGTTCGATTCTGAAGTTTTGGCAGTGATTAACCGACTCGAGAACATGAACGCTTTTGTAACTTCTTGTGATTTTTATTCCAAGAATCGCCACAAACTCTACCTTACTTGAGGTTTATGACGGATTTTGAATGGAATAATACCTATGTTGTGAATCGCGAAGAACACCCAAAGCATGGATCAGTGCTCTTATCCGCTCAAACAAGTATGGCTCAACGCAAAACCTCAAGGAGATATGTTTCGGTATACTGGAGGCAATCCAGATTTGATCCCAGATAAGTTTCCGGTGCTGCTCCACTCAGCCTTGAATCGCTAACAAGTTCTCAAAGGTCTATAAGTAGATCGAAAATAGTTGAATGACCAAAAATTGGGAACTAATGTGAAGAACGTGGACGTGTATTTTGGACTAGCTGCGCTCTCACTCAGATTTCCGCTTACCACCGGAAGACAAGGTAGTGAGGAATAGCGTTCCAGCTGAGCTGGCTTGCCAAATTCACGCGACTATACAGAAGGCTAAAAGCGCTTGCCTCCATTTCACGGCGATCCTCTGTCGTCTCCCTGGCTAGGATTCCACCGTGGACTGCTGGATGCAATGTCTTCACACGCCCGCCAAGCATTTCATTGAAGTTGGTGATTTCGGATACATCTCTGAAAGTTCGAACAGAAGATGATGCATAGTCTGTGGTAAGCATCAAATGAAATGAAAGTTAGAGGCGCTATCCCCCCCCCCTTTGGGGTGAAACAATCCCCCACCTCAACGGGAATAGTGCCTCTAACTCCTATCAACATAGCTGGCAGTGATAAGATGGAAACAAGAGCATACCAGTTCCATTTCTGGCCGCGCACTACGGAGTGACTGAGTACGCAAGAAAAGCTTCTGGTTTGGCGCTAGCGAGTACCTCGCGTCATGAATTTAGCTCTAAGCTTTGTAGGTTCGAACACTCCCGCATGAAACGTTAACCTCTAGGCGACCTCCTTCATGTTGTAATTGTAAGTGGATTCTTGTTGACTAGCGCTCTCAAGTGTTCGCTGTGAACATCCTACGGCCGCACACCAAGCTCATCGTCATCAATGCTTTCATAGATATAGCTTAAAGGCAGTTGGCACGATAAATCTAAGACGAGTAGGATTAATACGCCTAGCTGGACGGAATTCCACGACTCTAAGCAGGCGCTGCGTAGCCCAAGGAATGCGCCATTATAAGGCCCTATCAAGCCGCAAAATAACAACCCGAGCCCCCGTAAATGGACACACTTGATGCTCATATTGCTTCATTTGCGAAGTAAAATATGAAGCGAAGGGATTGATATGAAGCGGCTGCGGTGCTGCATGGATATATGAGTACATACGTGCAGCCGTATCTACCGTAGCGGTTATTGGCAAGATGCCTACGGGAAACTCGTCCGAAATTGCTTTTCGAGTCATTAAGAACGAAGGCTTTTTTCGCAGGTTTTGACCGTTTCACTTCGTTTTTCGTCATTTTCCTGCAGCGCCCTGCTAGCATTTCAGGGCGAGTAGCAATTTATCGTACCAACTGCCTTTAACTCACTGAGCACGAATATCATATCCGCCTGATTACATTACTAGAGGCATCTTTGAGACGATTTGACGAATTTGTATAACTCAAGCCAAATACTACAAATCCCAAAGGGCTATTATTCTGTCGTAATCGACCTGCTTGAATGTTGGTTGCTGCTCAGTTAACTCTGTGTACGGAAGCATATCCACGAAAAATTATAAGCACAAAAATAACAAAGGACTCACTTCACATGCAGTCCGTGATCTCTCAGTGTGACGGCAGTACCACCAGATGCCACAAGAGTAAGTCCTGCTGCATGCAATCCATCTGCCAGATCACAAATTCCAGTTTTGTCCCATACGGATAAGATTGCTGAAAAGTCGATAAAATTGTGTG